GAGCTTCTGTTTGCTTGGGCTTTCTTTGGCATTGTCTTTTCTTTCACCATTTCCAAGTTTCCTTTGAAAGTGGGGGGAGAAGCTCCCACAGTGGTGACTGCAATGAGCCTGGGAAGTTCTCAGGCAGGACCCTGGACTTCTCAAGTCTGCAAAAACAAAGCTAGTGTCACTTTGTGTCTAGTTCTCCTCAAGGTGATCTAGAAGGGTGAGCTGGAAGCTCTAATACAATGTGATGAATTATGAGAAGCTAACTTGAAGTAGAAAAATTATTGCAGTTCTTGTTTTGAGAATTATCTGTAACACAGAGAGTACTTGGAGTGAAGGTGCCCAAGTGGTTTTGGTCAGAGTAGGGGATCAGTGTGGAGTTCTGTGCAGGAGAAGGATGTCTTGGCATTAGGAGGTTTAAGATATATTGGTCCAAGAGTGAGAAGTCCATGCTGAAGCCTGAACAGTGCTGCTTTTTTCCGCAAGAAAGCAGTTGCTGCCTGATCCCAAGGTGCCTTCCCTCTGCTCTTGGAGTCTTTCTCTGAGAGGTGATACTCTTTAATCCAAGGAGGAGGATCTCTGTGTAGGTGAGGCACCAGCTGCCTGTTTTTGAGAAGTGAAACACATACATGTTTTTCAGTCAGACTCTCCCTTTTTGGGCTAAAGTATCAAAAATAGTTGTAGATGTGCTTCCAGTCTTCCAGTGTGCTGGGGTAAGGGCTTGAAAACTGCATGGTTCCCGTGCATGTGCCCTGCCCTGAGCAAGCAGCAGAATTTGATGAGGCCATCATTCGCTTCAATGGATGATGTTTGTGGATAGCAGTGGCCCTAGGAGATGATGAAGATGTGAGCTTGTCCCATAGCCTCTTTTGTGACTGTCCTGACACCCAATGGGAGACAGGGAAAGCCCTCTGCTTCCTCCCCTCTCAGCTCCCAGTGCCTGTGGCATGCTTCCCATATGTCTTCCCATGAAACCCGCCCTGTGGCACTTGTTTAGGCAAGAGGCATGTTTTGAAAACGTGCTGTTTTCCCCCTCGTGAGCCAGCCATGGAAAGGGACCTGGAGTGACCGCTTACCGGTGGTGGTGCCATTCCAGGCTGGGGTAGGCCTGGCCTCTGTGGAGTCCCTGTAAAGGGCAGGGGCAGGGGCAGGGGTCAGGCTGGGACCAGGCAGCCTTCAACTGCCACCATGATGTCAGCAGGTCACAGGGGTGCCACCAAGTTCCCCAGCTGCACTCCTGCTGCCTCTCCGCTGCCCCAGGGTTGGGCCCGTGGCCTCTCCTCCTCAGTGCCTGCCGTTAGAAGTGTCCGTGTCCTGAAGGAGAAGCTGTCGGCAAACTGCCCCGGAGGAGCACTCAGCCATAGCTGGGCAAAGCCTTGGCTCCCCTGGGCCTGCGCACAGTTCTCCCCAAGCCGTCATGCCTCTTCCTCTGTGGGATGGAGGAAAAAAATATTTGGTGAGAGAACTGGCTTTCAGTGTTAGCAGTTTATTGTTGCTGAAGTGTGATAAATAAGGTGATAACACTGTGGAAGCAAACTGCTGATCCCAGGCTCCCACTTAGGTGCAGTCTCCGCTTGCCAGCTGAGCCAGGTGCAGTGAGGAGGTGAGACCTCACCTCCCATGCCCCAAAGAAGTGGTTGCCAATGGAGAGGGTGGTCAGAGGGACAGATCTCCATGAAACCAGCCTTGCCCCTTGGCAGTTGTGTGGCAGCCATGTGTTCTTGCAGTACTTGTGGGCCCAGGAGCATGGCGGCTTGGCCTAGCAGCCACGAGCGGTGCCAGGAGGTATTGGAGCCCTGGCTGCCCATATTCAAGAGTGAACAGGCCTTTCCTTTCCTGGACCATACCCTCCTGCCTTTTAAACCAAAACCAATTATTCCTGATGTGGTCTGTGTTGATGATACCTCAGAAACTGTTGCTTTAGAGTACCCATATTCTTGGCAGAAAGAGACCAGCTGCCCAGGGATGAGAAATATACTAAACCTTGTAATTTAGTTACCTTGGCAACATCTGAAAGGAACTACTAGCCCTAAACCACTGTTTGTTTGGTTTTTTAATCTCTTTTATGGCAATACCTATTTATGTTTGCTTGGGAAAAGTGTGATTTATAGCCATTGTAGCCATTCTGCTGAATATTATCCTGACAGACAATAGGTCCAGTTTCTAACAAGCAAGGTTAAATGAGTGTAAAAGCAGATATTTAACTTTATAGAAGAAACTGAGCTTTACTGTCAAGTAACTAAGCTTTTGCTAAGCAAAGCCAAAATCATGTAAGTACTGTATTATTTTTTCAAAGTATTATAGTGCTTGATCACATTTACTCAGCATAGGAATTTTTTCAATGGTTGTGTTTTAGAACAGATATAAAAAATCTGTCGTTTTTTTTTTCTTTTGTGTTGTAACTTTCTCATGCATATGTAAGCTTTAGTTGTCAAACATTCATCACATGGGGGGCAGGGAAGAATTAATAGCATTATTGCTTATGATTGCAAGCCAAAACTAACAGCCTTTGGACTTGGTTGCTCCTGGATCTGGCTGTAGGCATAGCTCTTTTCATACACCATCATTCCCAGTTAGCTGTCTATGTCCCGGTAGTGGCTCCTCTGCACTGCACTACCTGTGACACTTGGATGCCAGCACACAGAAGTTCCCTAAGGATTGAATTTGTGTGCTGCAGCTTACACAGTGACCCCAGCTTTTAGGTGGCTCTCTGCATCCTCTGGTTACTCACTTGTTTCTTTTTTTGCTTCCGACAGCAGGGAATTTTCTGAGCCCTTCAAAAGGAGGAGTATCACTTGGTGACCGATTTAGTAATTGATTTAATTAATTTTGAAACTAACTGTCACTTGTTAAACTGATAATCAAGAAGCCAATTATAGGTTAACAGTCCTAAATACAAATCAGTGGTAACCAAAGTGTTTCTCTCTTAAATAAAGAAATCTGGATTTCTTTCTGATATCTCAAAGCCTTTAAAATGGGTTGTAAATATAGCTATTTTATTTAAAAAAAATTAAGACCCTATATTAGAAAGTCAGAATAATAAAATTGCGTATTTATTTCTGAAACTGTGTTTAGAATTTTATCCTTTTTAATGTGTTATGCCATTTAAGACATAAGTCTCAGGGCATGATAGAAAGTCTACTGAAGGTAAATCCTGCTCACCTAATTAATTTATGTAGCTGGAGTCCTCAGGCAGCCCCGGGTTTTAAAATCAGAACATTTCCATTGTTCTGTTTCAAGTTGAGTTGATGTACACATTTAAAAGTCTTATTCTAGGAATGTTATGATGTCTCTTACTGTATATGCATTTGTATTTGTAATAGGTAATGCAAAAGTGGTACGTACCAAAATATAGCTTTATTTTTTATTGCAGCCATTAATTGTAAAGCATCTTAAAAAATAAGAAGAATGTTCCTTAAATAAAAACATTTAAATTATTGTTTTTATTATGTATTTTCATGAAACTAGGTATTTGTTTTTACAGGTTTACAAAACAATGCAATTTTAAAAAGAATGTTCAAGATGTGTGCCCAATCCTGTATACTTTATGACATAAAAGTGTTGAAAGACTACAGCCAGCAGGCCACAGATGTATGATGGCTTGTCTATGGCTCTCTAAGTACTTAATTGAATTAGATCATTACCCATTTATACAATATTTTCTTCACTTTTAAAATTCTCATCTGAGGGCGGTGAATAGTTGTTTTTTTACTGTATTGATGATGGAGAGTCAACAATTTGATTAATCATGTAGTTTCAAGCATAAGTATTTCTGAGTACATCCTTTAAGGAATGTGTCCTGATGCTTTTTAAATTCCATGTGTGTATAAGTGTGTTTGTTTCATTTCCATAGAAGTTGTTTAGAAGGGCCTGAAATCAGATGATATATTAAAATACTGATATGTTAAGGTCCATCTCATCCTGTATCTCCAGTTTCAATCTGTACACATTTCTGGCTGCTAACTCCCCAGTTTTGTTTCCAGCTTCACTGTCTGTAATAAGCATAGGCTTGAAGAGCCCTGGGCAAGTGTTTGCACCATGAGCAAAGCCATGTAAGTTGCCAGAAAAGAGGTGCTTTAGAGAACAAGATGTAAGCAAATTGAGGGCCAAATTCTGCTGCCATTTAATCTATTGAAGGATGAAATGTGTTACTAGATAACCTGTTGGCTGAAAGATTGTTTAGAAGTAAAGAAGGGCTGAGTAGTAGCAAAGGTAGCAAATTCCAGTGCTAACAAACACAGGATACACAAACCCGTAAGCCTGAGAAGGCACATGGTAATCATACATTTCAGCTGTGAAATCTTAGGGATAAAAACAACACATCCAAAATTTTCTGATGTAGCGTTCAGGTTGATAATTTAGTCCTTTATTGAGCAGTAGTTTTAAAAATACTATGACATGCTATGAATGAGCAAAGTGAATGAGGACCTGAACAAAATGAAGAGAGGATCTTTCTTTCTGGAGTCAGCTTTTCCAGTGTAATCTCTACTGGCAGCAGTGAATACATCAGATGTATTTACATCGTATCTGTGCAAGAGGATGTTTATGGATATGACATATGCTGCTCTGCACCCTTAAAACCTGAGAACTAGATTCTCTCTCAATGCCATGCGCATCTCTGTTGATTTCAGAAATACACAGTACTGCAGTAATGAGCATGGTATACAAATTTAAATAGATTCATAGACATATGGACAGACAGATGGATTAAGGCAGACTTTGTCATTTTGTCCCTAAAAGTCATTTGGGATACTTATATTTTGTGTACACAGTGACACTAAGGTGTCAGCCCAGATAATTTCCCTTAACTTAGTAATATTTTATGGGTTTACATAAAGTTTTCACTTGAAAACATGGAGGAGTGTGTGTGTATACATCCTGCAGAAACATACTGGTACTAGTAATATAAACCATTTTCATTCTATTTTGAAAAACATTGTGAAGGTATAAATTATGTTTGAACTGGACAGAGATGATGATGTGGCATGTGACTGAAAATATATATTTTTTAATAGATGATTCAGCCGCAGAGAGTTTTAATGGCAATGAGACCGTGGGACACAGTTCCAATGCTTCAGGGGGAACACACTGCAGGGAGATGGCAGAAACCAACAGTAATGGCAAAACAAATCTGGAGCAGGATGAGCAGCCTCTGAACCTGAGTGACAGTCCCCTCTCTGCTCAGCTGACTTCAGAATACAGACTAGATGATCACAGCAGTAATGGAAAGAACAAATACAAGACTCTCCTAATTTCTGATCTCAAGATGGAACGGGAGGCAAGAGAAAATGGAAGCAAGGTAAGATGCTTCCACATGCTCCAGACATGAAGTGTGTAGCTTAGAAAAGGAAAAGATTTGTGAGCCCAAACCAAAGGTTATTCCCAGTTAAGCACTTAAAGCAATGTGTCTAACATTTGTCACGTCATTACTTGAATGCTATACATAGATTTGTATGCTCTGTTACACATATATGATGCATACGTACATTAAGTGTATGTGGATGTGCATGGGTGAATACATATATATGTGTGTGTATATATATATATACACACACACATATATATAGGCATATATATTGTGCTGACACACTGACAAAAACCAGTGCAGTTCTCCATCAGGCATGAATTTTCTCAGTCCATTTATTGACAACTGTCTACATTACCCATTTGAAATATATATTAAAATATGTATATAATATGATACATATATATATGTATATATACACCGAGATACATATATCTATGTATATTTATAGATGACCATCTCATTATATGTATTACGTATCTGTAGAAGGAATTCGTATGAGTGTTAAGTGTGTATCCCTAAGCAAATTACTACATGTGAATTATCAACATCTGAAAGGAACTGATTTGGTTCCTTCCTGATTGTTTGTGTTGTGCAGGCACCTAACCCGAATTTAAACTGACAAGTTTGCTTTAAGAAGCTGTAATCCCCTGAGGGCTTTTCTCTGTAGTTCCTATTATGTGAGTAAAGAGAAGTGAAGGTGGTTATATTGTAGATAAAAACAGATCCTATAGATTAGATAGCTAGCTTTCTAGGAATGTATTTGTCATGAAGGCATGCTGTAGAGAGAGTGGAGAAAGGGCCTGTATCACAGCATTTATCCATTGATCTTATTGGTGGCAAGTTCCTGGTTTTTTGTCTGATAACTCCCAACTGGATTACCACTTTTACAGCAGCACTAATAGGATGTTAGTGCTGGATCCAAATACAATTAATGCTAGTCACTAGCTTTCAGCAGCCCACTACAAAATTACCTGACAACACAGATATACTTCAGATGACCACATTTTTTGCAGGGTTTTGAAAAAGGAGTGTTATGGAAAGTCACTTTTCCTAGGTTTATCCAGAAAGGGATTTTCCATGACTGATGTCTAGAGAATAGCATTTATTTATAGTAAAGTTCTAAGTCCTGTCTTCATTACCTGTGGAATTAAAAGAAATACTTGAAATGTTTTTGGTTTTTTTTTTAACTCAAGTGTCTGGTTTTGGTGAATAGAAGAAAGGGAGACCAAATGGGAGATTGTTAGTCTTTCTCTTTCTTGGCCATTCCTGTTTTCCAAACATGAATCCCAAAACATTATCCATAAAATCTTTATGAAAACCTGTTTATCTGCATGGAATATTTGAGTTTCCACAAATTTTAATTTTACTGGAAATGCTCTGAATAGCTCTAGTCTCAGAGTGTGTATGCACTGCAGTGCTGGATTTACTCAATACTGAGACTGCTGCACAGTGAGTCCCAGATCGGCTAATGTGAATGGTATCTTCATTTGCTTCAGGGCACGCTGTTCCAATGAACTTTTTATAAGCCAGTCACCCAAATATTGATAGACACACAGGCTCTTTTGCCCGAGGTACATTGCAGCTTCTGCCATTTCTCTTGCAAATACACAAATAAGCTTGGTGAAGAAAGGAAGGAGTCTTCATGTGGAACTCATTTATAGCTAAGACAAGAATTTAGTTTAATGTTACATTTCAAATTTTAAACAGTTCCAACTCAGTTGCAAAAAAATGTATCAAAAAGTGATAAAATCTGTTTTTAATGAATTGACATGACAGTCAAAGCCATCACATTCTTTGTTATTCTACAAATTTTAAGAGGCCTGAATCATCCCCCACATTGATACATTCTTTCATCACTCACTGTCACGCTACCCACTCTATACTGCCAACAATATGCAGATTTGTCTCCCCTTTTTGTCCTAGTGAAACCTATGTTGATGTTTACAGTTAATTTAAGTATATTATTTATTAGGTACACAGTAAACATCATTAAATGAATATTAAATTCTATCCCAGGAAGAACACATTCCTGGCGTAAACAAAAATTTGTCAGAGATTTGTAAGCTGAGTGTAGAGTAAAAGAATGTCTTTGTGGCCAATTTCATATTTTACAGATGAATTCTACTCTTTTTAAATTTAAATACATTTAGAATATATTTAGAAGAAACAAGAATCATCAGTGTATTAGAATAGAATGGGACTGTACAGCATCTCAGTGTTTTGTATGCATGCATACACACTCATATAAATAATTACTACTGCTTTTTTAGTACTACCACCTTAAGTGGTATCTTACATGCTAATGAGTCAGAGAATGTTTTACAAACACTAGACCTAATCAAGGAGGTCCTCTTGCTCTCCCCTGGTGATTCAGGTTTCTGGGCCCCTCCAGAAGAGTGTTGTGGCCATTACTGAGCTGATGACTTTTTGATAATGCAGAAGATCAAACTCCTAGTTGTGTGCAGTACCCACTGGATGCACTTGAGCAAGGGTATTACAAGGAACTAGCCAGAACTCTTAATTCTCTGCCACAAAGGAAACAAAATAAAGAACAAGTAAGAATAACAGAGTACTGTGGTTTACTAGGAGCCACCTCTCAAGTATACTTTTTACCCAGAATACATCAAGTGTGTGGGTTGCTTTTTGAAGTCATCTAGGAATTCTCCTAGCTCTCTTGCAGCATCCAACCTCCAGTCATTCACAGTTATGAAGTTATCAGACATGATTAGACCTGAATAATGATATCACTGGTAGTGATGGGTAAGCAAATGTGTTTAGTGTAACCTATAATCATGTTTTCATGAGAAAAATTATCTGCAGTGTTCACCAAGTATCAAATTGATATGCTACTTCCTATAATGTATTATTCTTACAGTATCTTTATGTGGCAAAGAATTGCGAAAAGTTATGTGAAAAGTTAGTGAAAAAAAATCTGGTTTCTAAATGGAGGGAAATATATTTTAATTATTGGGCTAGCATTGCAGGAAGTAATGGTAAACTGCTTCCTCCAGCTTCTACAATGGCCCATTCAGCCTGCAGAAGATGTTACTTGCTCAAATAGCCAGGACTCTCTGAAAACCACAGACAAATGGCTGGAGCTGGGAAGATCTGTTGGCTGACATGTTCCCTATCTGCTCTGTCTGAATCTTCTTTTTGGATACTGCATCATATATGTTTTATTAACTTTGAAGCCACAGTTTCTCTGGTTAACTTGCATCCATTCTGACCTGTCAGTAGGTTTAAAGATAACACATCAGAGCTAAATCTAGCCACAGAAAGCCACAAGGTTACTTTTTTTTGTTTGAAAATTATCAGCACATTATCTCCTCCACCAAATCACAGATTTTCTAAAGGAGTTTAGTTTTTCTGGAAACAAGCAATTTTGCTAAATTATGTTATAGGTATTTGCCTATACAACATTGTTTACAAGAACCAACACTTCCTTCACATGTGTATTGGTGGGCTCCACTGTTTGACAATACAGTTCTGATTGACAATTTTGGTACATGCTACAGAAATATGATCAGAAGAAGCTGTTGAGATTAAAATGGTAGGTTTTCCATGATATTTTCTTTGTAAATCTGACATCTAATAGGCAAATGTTTTTTGAAAATTGTTGCTTTGCTGTGGAAGTTCAAGTTTTAGAATATTAATCTTGTTAATACCTATTTGAAGCAATTGTATGCTTATGCTGTATGGAAAGTTTGCTAGATACTGGCCTCATTCTGTGAAAGAGTCTTGGATGTCAAATCAGGGATACTTCACATGTTCCTAACATAAGGCCTCTCTAAGGTATGCAGAGGATGTCATTAATGATTGGTAAGAAATGTAGGGTTTTTGGCAAAATAATTCAAGTTTTCTTGTCTGAAAAGACCCTGATGAATAACTGGAGACTAGATAATCCTGTGAACAAATTTTAATTCAACTCTTCAGACTACTAGGGTATATTCTTTAAAGAATGCTCTGTTCAGTCACTTTTGTACATGATTTTCAAAACTGATGTTGTTAACACTCATTAACATTCACAAGAACCATGTTTTAGTGGGCAGTGTAACTTTACTCCTTGAATCCTCAGTTCCAGGCAGTGACTGTTTGTGGTAACCTCTTCTCTGTGTAAAAAGACCACGTGCTGAGTAAAGTGAAGGGAGTTGCCAAATTGTAACATAACCTTAAAATCTGGTCCAAAATGTTTTATCGTTTACTGAAAAATGTTATGCAAGGAAGAAATGGGCTTTCATAGTCTTCAATATGTATATGTAAGTATGTGTGTATATGTGTATGTATGTACTTTTTATATATGCTTTTATTAAGATGGTATTAGGGAACTGGCCCTCCATTAAGACTCAGACGTTCACTACAGTAGAACTTCCTACAACCATTTAGGGCTGAACTGAAGTCAGTGAAATTTTGCATAGGTGCAAAAATATATGCATAAATTTACATTAACGGGGTTGGGTCTTTATACTACAAAAGACTCATAAAATACTTATCTGTAAATGCTCTGCAAAGGCAGTTCTATGAATTCAAATCATTAAGTGCACGTATAAATTATTTTAGATCATTATATATTTATGTGTGAGACTGCTGAGTTTCTGTATTACCATGGTGAATTCTCTGTCACACTGGGATATTTGATTCTGATTCTTGTGATATTCCTTTTTCCTAGACCATATATTTTATTTTGAAAATGCATAATATAATTTTATCTCTTCCATGTCATTTATTTCATGAAACCCACTCCTTTTAAATTATTTTGTCTCTTCTACATTTGGATTAGAAGGTTATTGTGATGCAGTGTGGGAAAACAGGTTTTTTGAGCTAACCAGCCATACTTATATTGTGCCATGTATTTACCTGGATTAATAACCAGTTCATTATGTCTGTATTGCAAAGGACATTCATAATATGCAAAACTTCTCTTTGGGATTTCCCAGATAGAAATAAGTGCTACTGATCATGAGTGCCTGGGAGATGCACTGAAGTGAGGTAGC